AAAGTTGTAGGTATTCACTGAGACAACATATGCCATTGCTGCTAGTCATAGCTTAATTAAGGCATGTCACTTCTCCCACAGGAGCAAAAGTGCCCTGAGGAACTCTAAGCTGACATCCTGTAGACAACGAGCATAACACAGTTCTGTACATTATTCACAAATCTTTAAAAAAAGAAAAAACACTGTAGCGTTTTATGATGGATTATTTTTGTTTCAGATTCATTATCTTAGGAAAGTTCTGATAGCGATCACTGGGATTCACTCACTATGGCAGGTAAGCAAGTATTCTGTGGCTCCTACTCTTCTTCCCTGAGCAGGAGTTTAACTTCACATTTGCACATGGAAGTGAATGGAAACCATCTCCCAAAAGGGGTGTTGTGCATGAAGAGATTCCTTTTGAATTATTATTTTATGACACTGCAATATGCAGATGAGTATAGTTATTAATTACTGATTAACACAGTGTATTTCATGCTGTGATCAGTAAACACTTATTCTGAGGTTTTTTAAAGTTAGACAGAATAACTTAAATATCAGTCAAAATATAGCAAGATCTTAGACTACAAAGTGAGGAAAGCAATGCTTGGCAATAGTTCATCCAGTGTAAAAACAAAATTAATCAGTTCCTTCCACCTGTAGTGGGTCAAGATGTCTGTGTTCATAAGTATAGTAAATAAATAAGCAACATTGTAATTTTAGAATTTTGCTGTCTATAGATTCCCAGCTTCAGTCGAGCTTGGCGAAGTGTGGTTTTATCACCATTTCTCACAGGTAGGATTATTAGCTATCATACTTGTATAGCAACTTAAATAATTTACTTTATCATGGCTTCTTTATCTCTTAGCTTCATGTCCACCAAGTCCTAAACAGATAGAGGAATGCTGTGAGTGTTTTGTGATTCTGCTCAAGTAAGTGTTTTATCCAGCCCAAAATTCTCAAAGTGGTTTTATTGACAATATTGAGCCATCTACTTAAACATAGCATGATTGAGAACTTCCTTCCTCATCTTCTACTGAAGGTGTCCTGTACTGGCTGATTTGGATGTCATTGGAATAGCTAAACAATACACACAGTTGGACCTTCCAGCATTTGCCTTGGGATGTCTGATGCTGATTCCTCAGTCTGAGAAGCGGGAGCAGCAAATTCAGGTAAAGAAGTTTTATATTGCAACAAGAGAAATGCCTTTTACATGTGTTATGTTTAACAGAGACTGGAAGATGAGAGTTTTAGACTAGCAGCAGTTTATCACTGCCAACAGCTGTTAGACATCTCTCACCCACAGAGGCCTCAAACTTCTTCTGAAAGAGATCATGTGAACACTTACTCATTTTTTAAGCTTCAAGTCATTCTCAGCAGTTTTGCCATATGACTGCCTTTTTTGAGTTAGAGAGTACCTTCTGAGAGGGTTCAGCAGAGAGGTTTTAGTTGCTGACTTACACATCTGCATCCTGAAAACATGCACCCAAGTTTTAGGTTCCCTAACATCAAATATTTGCTTATGGTAAATAGTCAGTGCATATGGAAGAAAAAACAAACAGAAATGTAACAAGACATATGCCAAAGCAGTATACAAAGCTACTGACAACCCACATAATTGCTGAGGGCTAGTTCAACAACAGATTGTATCTATTGAATCCTGCTAATAAAAATCCTTGATACACAAGTTCTCTTAAAAATGGTGAGGGATATACTTTATGGAGCAAAGGAAAGCAATGAAATTGCTTTCTACCAGGATACAAACATGCTCATAAATGCATTCATCAAGATACAACTCAGAAGACAATACAAGGAGAAGCAACTTACCCTTTCAGCCAAGTCTCTAGAAGGGGAGAGCTCCAAATAGATATCCTGCTCCTTCTGCTGCAAGCACTTAAATGAGAGTGAGGAGAGGTGGACCCTGGGTGCATTGCTTACAGCTGTGTGCCCTGGGTTAGCCACGCCTTCTCACCTGGTACTCAATCACTGGTTCAGGCCGTGACCTAACAATCCCCATACATCTATTTAGTTTCCTTTCTGTTCTTTCTTTCCGTTAACTTATGCTCTGCATTATTCTTCCAGATAAAGGCTGCTCATGTATCTTTCATGAGCAAACTGGCACTAGTAAAGGTATCTTAAGTTCTTAGATTTTCCTTCAGTAAAGTTAAGGTCAGGAAGATCTTCCCAAATCATAGTACTAGTGTAAAAAATCTATGGCAATGTGTCAAAAAACCTGTAACATCTACATGAAAATAACTTTTGAAAGTTATAGAATCATTGAATGGACTGGGTTGAAGAGGACCACAATGATCATCTAGTTTCAACCCCCTGCTATGTGCAGGGTCACCAACCACCAGACCAGGCTGCCCAGAGCCACATCCAGCCTGGCCTTGAATGCCTCCAGGGATGGAGCATCCACAACCTCCTTGGGCAACCTGTTCCAGTGCGTCACCACCCTGAGTGAAAAAATTCTTCCTAATATCTAACCTAAACCTCCCCGTCTCAGTTTAAAACCATTCCCCTTGTCCTAACACTATCCACCCATGTGAACATTGTTAACAGCAATAGGAATTACTACTCCTTCAGTCAGATTGCACAGATCCTGGTTTGAGATTTTCATGTTTGTGCCTTGAGTTTTAAAATATTAATTGTTCCTGAGTAAGTCAAATACTTGTTCTGAAGGGAAAACTTCTACTTCAATTATTTGCAGAATAGTAATTTTTTTTTTTTTTTTTTTGCAAGGCTTTCTTGTCAACATGTAATACTGAAACTGTGCTGCAACAAATAGATGAGCATATGAATACTGGAGAAGTAGTGGCTTTTGCTTCTCAGGTAAGAAAGATTTAATTCATTTTTACCTTTGACTTACAGGCTTTTCTTGATGACACCTGTACACAACATTTTTCCTTTCTCCTCTGACCTTGCAAAAAATCAGTTGACATAACCTACACTTCTGAAATTTATAGCAGAATTTGCTGTTTTCTTATTGTTGTGCAACTGGATTAGTATTTTATAGATATAAATATACACCAATGTGCACACACAGTGCTTTCTTGTAGACTGTCCCTATTTGTTGGACAGCACTGTTTGCAGTAGCACTGCTTTATTTTTCTAAAAAATGTTTTAAGCAGAAACATCAAATGGTTCATGAAACTGTACCCTCTTGTCTTACTATGCATAGCCTTCTGAAAGGCAAGCTTCTAATGAATTCCATATCTGAATCTAGTCTTCAGAAAATCTGCCATTTTTCAGCACTGCAAAAGTAATAATCTAGCTCTATGGGAGGTCCAAAAAAACCCACCTGTTTTGTTTTGTTTGTTTTTTTTAATTCAAAGGTTTATTATTTTTTATGTATAAAATAATAATACTTTCCCATTGCTAAAACTTAAATCTACAGATTAGATCTTTGATTTTGGACAATATCATAAATGAGAAGCTATATGAAAAGTTCTTGAAAACGAAGTATTTCCCACTGGTGAAGCAACAACTGATGAGCACTCACCGAATGAAAGAACTGGTGGATTATTTTGCCAGCAAGAACTGGTAGGTTAATAAAACAGATGATGCATTGCTTACAAAAACTGAATCTCTCCTTTACTTTAGATTTCCACCACCAGACCTATCTGACTTCATAACTGCACGGTCATACTTTGATTTATAGTTTGGTGTGTATGGCTTAATTCTTGGCTTTTTAGAGAATTTCTGTTGACAAAGTTAATAAACTTTCCTCCTACAGCATGGAGGATGCAGCAACCCTAATTCGAGAGTATCAAGAGAAATATGGAAACCCTACTCTGCTAGATAAATCCTCCTCTGATATTCTGAAGGTAAAATAAACCACTTTTGTACCTCATACAGCACTTTTTCCTTTTTTCTAACCTGGAACTTTCACTCAACTTCTAGCAAAAATACTTGTTAACTGATTTTTAAGTAAAATATATTCTATATACTAAAATCCCTTTATTGATTCAAACATATTTTACTTGAATCAAATCTGAGCAGTGATAAACCTGATACTTTCAAGCACTTTCACAAGTCTTAGATTACATCCTGTTTTCTAAACCTTTCTCATATTGTCCTCTTACCCTCCAGATGTACCTGAATGGACCACAAGAGACGTGTGTAATAGAACTGTCATCTATGAAGTCTTGATTTGCCCTCAGTCTTTTCTCCCTCTGCTGCTGAGTGTTATGCATTCACAATGCACATAGTGGTTAAGTAAATGCTGAACTAAAATCTCACTGCTCTTTTACCAAAAGCTGGCCCTAGCTTTCCACATCTTTTTCTTTTTTTTCTTTAATCTGTTCTAGAGTGTTTTCATAAGCTGTCCCTTGTAAAAAAAAGCAGTTAGATTTACAGCAAGAGTCCTATTTCCATACAATAGCAACGTTCATATTCTGCACTTTGACTTTAAGAAGGATTAACTTTATTTCATTTACTTCTGTTTTATTTCTCTATGTTGAAGTCTGCTGTTAGGATCACTAAGATTTCATTCACACAGACGTAACTTGATGCAATTGTGATCAAGTTTTAAATTGGAAGCATTGTGCTTCATGTAAAATATAGTTTATAGACAGCTTCATGTAAAATATACAAACAAATTGTGATTTTAATTACAGTGAGCACAAATAAACTGACTTAACTATCAAAATTGACCTTAGAGTCTTTTAATGGCTTTGATGTACAGATAAATTTGTCAAGAAAAGTTGGTGATGTTCTTTTTCCTACTGTAAACATGCAGAATTCAAGGAGCATGTATTTCACTGCAGGAAATAGCAGTTAGCTGAAGTGTCCTGAGTTACCAAGCTCAAACACTGAGGTTTTTTGTAAGCAAAGCAGGTTTATTTCAAATAGAAGGTATTTAGCCAAAGTTACTGACACAGAACTGTAGGTTCTTTGGGTTTGAAGGATTTGTTTCACAAAAACATTCGTGACAACTACAGCACAGCCTTCTGCACAAATACTTCACTACCATTTCTTTTACTGCCAAGGACAACGTATGCAAAGGAAACAGGCCACCATTCTAAATTCTAGATGTTGTGCAGAGACAACTTTATTTATATTGGAAAATCAGCAGTCATAAGAAGTAAGAGCTGTTAAAATACATTCAGTTCCCTGCAGGTACCTGGGACTAGGAGAGACAAAAGCTCCAGTCTTCCTGAACAACCAACTTTTTACCCTTCGGCAGCAGTACAAGTGCTGTATGGAATTACATTATTTAAAACCTTTTTACACAAAGCAAAATGGGCAAATGTAATATCAAATATAAGCCATAAATAAAGGAAAGCTCATCACTGTTCACAGATTTAATGAGACAGTCATTCATTAAAGCACAGCAGTGCTCTGAGTAATAAAAAGACTCAGGTTCAGCTTTCTACAGTGAAATTACTACTCCAAGGTATGTTTTCATTCCAATTTTTTTCAAAAATATATCCAATTAAAGGACTACATTATACTGAATGAGAAATCCAAATCTCAAATGGATTTTAAAGCAAACCAAACATGCCTCCAAGGGGCCTTGCTATTTTTATTCAAGCCTTTTCCAGTCTTCTTTTTGAAAGTTCCATGCACTGTTTTGGTGACGTCTGATAAGCATTACCAAATGAAAAAACTGGCAGACATCTCAAAACCAAGTGCAACTGTTGCATTTTCTTCAACGGTTCATAAAGGCTTGTTTTCTTGTTTTTCTATGAAGGGAAATTTATGACAACATGAAAGAACTGTACTTCAACAGTTAGTGACATATTTTACAAATCAATTCATACAGAGAAAAGAAGAAAACAATGTTATAAAGTTATTACCAAGAAGTTACACTGCTAAGCTGTTAAACATTAAGTGTAGTTCTGTAAACTAGTAAGGAAGGATTGTAGTAACATGCAGTTCTGGAATGAGACAGTAAAAATACCACACAAGCAAATATCTTCTAAGATTTTTTGTACTCAATTCTTTCTACTTTCACATCATCTCCAATCAGCTGATAGACGTACGTAACTACTGTAGAAGCCTGGATATCCATCAGCACAAATGACGGAATGATGTTGCTAGAAAGAAGGTAAAAAAAAAAATCACATGAATTGAGAGTGTGTATATAATAACCTTAATGGCGTTTCACTGTCAGACTTCTTAGCAAGAATCATTCCTGAGAAAAACTGATTTGAGTTTTGTAAGCACAGTACATCAGATCTGAAGCTTTAAGGATTTCTAGTCATCTGTTTCAGTCCAGGAGCCTCAGCAAGGACAACGAGTCCTCCTCTACTATAGGTTACACTTTTAAATGTTGGGCAAATCTCAACCTTAACAACAAGTTTTCTTATCAAAAAGAAATATCCCACAGCTGTTTCTCATGCTTTACTTACTTCTCCAAGGCATGATAAGCTCCTGTAGCTGATCCTGGATTGATATAGAACTTGTTTTCGTGTTCAAATGCCTCAAATTTGTGTGTATGTCCTGAAATGAGGATGTCCACATCAAACTGCCTCTGTAACAGTGCCAGGCTGGCCATATCACCCCAAGGAATAACCTGGTGGCCATGAATCAGACCAATTTTGAACTGTCCAACAGTTACAACTTTCTGTTCAGGATAATTCAGGTTCTAAAAATCAGAAGTAAAAAAAAAAAACAGAAGCAAAATAAGCTAATTAAGCCCCACAAACTGATTAGATGTACAGAATCATCCATACAAAAAAAAAAAACAAAAACACTAGATGAAACCTAAGTCAGTCTGATTGGTTCTGCTGCTTTTATCAGCACTGTCAAGAGTTTGGTAACGATGCCAGAAATTTCAGAGACACGACAACAGGAGGTCCTGGTTGTTAAGTCAGCCTTAGCTCAGTGCCCAATTCAGTTTTAATCACACTGACCACCATACTGACTGTGCAACTCGCATTAATTGGAACCCCAACTCTTTTACCCAGTTTACTTTTCAGTCTTAGCACTAAATAAGTTCAGATTGCCCATTTTTTTACTTAAAAGTACAAGTAACTCAACCACTGCCTTGAACACAAGCTGAACACAAAATACCACTACCAAAAGAGGTCACTACCTCATCAAAGTCCCCTCTGACAACGTGAACATCCCCAGCGAGGGTCTTGAGGTAGTCATAAGTGTCCTTGGTGCAGAGGTTTCCCGTGCAGAGGATGTGCTGGATCTTCCCTGGAACCAGCAGCTTTTTGAACTTGGCTGGGAGGCTGTTGCATCGATGTGGAATGTGAAGATCTCCTAACACTAACACCAACTTAACAGGTGTCATGACAGGAAAGAAAAACCATTACAGATACTTTAGATGAGAATTATTAAGTAACAAAAAGCACCACAATGTCGTCTTCTGTTTCCCAATTGTATTTTGATATAAAAGCTACTAAAATTAGAATTAAATAAAGGAATATTTCCATATTTCAGTGAAAACAGGGGCCCATATTAATAATGAATGTTACCAAGAGGAAAGCCTTACAAACCTCTGCAGATGTTTTGTGATTTTGTTGCTGAAAGACACTGCAAAGTATAACAGAAGAACTGCATTACTACTTGATGTGATGTACACAAAATTGGGAACTACCATAAGCTGTCCCATTTTCTTTTTCCCCTTAAACTAGAAAAGATACGGGACATCTGTACCAGATGCTCTCAAGCACAGACCTGGCTGAACTGCAGCCACATCCCTTTAAAACTCCTTTCTACTTTAGTTGATGTCAGTATTCTAATAAAAAATAAAATAGTAATAACTAATAGCAAATTTGTTACGTGTTAATAGTTAACCAGAACAGGAAGCTTGTTCTGAACACATATCATAAGACAGTGAGACTAACAAAATAAAGAGGGGGGGGGAAAAAAAAAAGCACAAAACCCCTCAGAACACTGCAGAGAAGATAACCTGGACTACTGCATCCAGTGTTTATATTACCAGGTCTATACACTCAGAGTTTCAGTTCTACAGATGCAATGAGAATGTAAATTTAATGGGGGACTTCAAAACTACACAACCAGATTAAGATGTATAATGTTAAACTATGGTCTTAAGTCTGCTAATAGAGAAAATAATTAATGCAAGCAAAGTAGCAATAAATTAATTTTGCAAGAAGGGCATGAAAAGCTCCACGCAGCATGGGGTGTATTGCTACTACGCTAAACCCACTGAATTTAGAGATGGTCTCCCCCACTGACTCGACAAAAACCTCCCTATTAACTGAGTTTATCTTCCAATTAAAAAGCTTTGTTAGTAAGCCAGTTCCTAAAAGCTTATTGTCCAGGCGTAACATCCTGGTACGAAGACAGCTCCTAAACTGACAGTCACCAGATCTGTTTGTAAATAGACACAGTCTGTATAAATAGATGTATCTATGTATGCAGCAGTAACCACATTTACCTTTAATACTCGCTTTTACCTTATTTTTTTAGGCCATGCAGCTGTCGTTATGTCAGCAGCCACCCGAAGAGGCACAGAGGACTTGGGTGGCTTTGGGAGTCCTTTTCCCCTATTTTTAATTGAAAATGTCTCATTGCTGGTTAAAGTGGCACTAAACAGATGCACTCACGGATGGTTAAAGGTCTGGGCTGTGGAACAGCAGCTCTACATTTGATGTCTAATCAAACTGCTGCCACTTCCACAAAACCCCAACAAAGCTCAAAGACCTTTTCCTCTGAACAAACAGGCAGGCCCCAGATTTTCCCAAACCACATCTGAGCTCCTGCTAATTAAAAAAAACCAGCTCTGTAGGCTGCATCCACAAAACCTAAATGCATCGAAGCGTGTTACATCCGGAGCTGAGGGGATGCGAGCAGCGGCCCCAGCCCCACCGCAGCCCCAGCGCCGGGACGGAACTTACTCTGTGCCCGGCCTGAGCGGGTGGAGGAGTTGATTGCAGACAGGGGAATGGGAAACAGGGCGAGGCGTGATCAATGTTAAACCAAGGAAAGCAACAGAAAAGAAAACAGAGCCAAATGAATAGGCAAATCATAATTAATGAATTGTCGATGTTATGAAAGCAGCGTCAAACGGTAAAAAAATAAAATCAAACAACACCACCACCACCACACGGCTCCCTGTGCGCGGCCCTCGCTGCTCTCCACCCACGGCACCCGCTGCTCCCTCCCCGCTCCATCTCCCTCAGTTCGGCCACAGGCGGATTTTTAGGCGCCGACCGACACAAAGCGGGGCCTCCTCCCGGCCGCCGTCGGCGCTGGGCCGCCTGGAGGTGACGCGGGAGCACCTCAAGAGCATCACAGCCCAAAGGCGAGACCCGGCGCTCCGCTCACCATCCTGCTCGGCACCGCACCGCCCGATGAAGCCGCTCCCGGAAGTCAAGAGGTCTCTCCCGGAAGTCAGGTGACTTCTCCCGGAAATCACGCCGCCCCTACCTCCCCTCCGCTACGGCTCCACCGCAAGGCCAAAAGAGCGCGAAACGCGTTTCTCCGGCGGTTACATCCGGGTCCCTTGCTTCTGAGCGGAGTTTCCCGCCCTTTCTGTTATGTGAGGAGAGAGGGCGCGGGGCGGGCGGCCATGAAGTGTGTCATTGGGGGGACGCACCTCAGAGGTATCTGCTACCTCAGGAGAGGTGGTGGCACGTCGAGATAGAGTGAAGAGCCTTCCCTAAGTGGGGCGAGGCTGCCACAGCGGGGTTTGGGGCAGAGGAGCCGTTGCCCTCGTGGCACCACGCTGTGAGCATTTATCACAGAGCTCTGAGCTTGTGGTAAAACCGAAGGCCAGGTTCTCTGTGGGCTTCTTAGGGCTGGATCTATATGTTCTGCGTGTTCAGTCTTGTGGCCATCTACAAAGTGACATTTCTGTCAAAAGCAGCATTTTGTGCCATCACTGAGATCGTTTGTGGTGATGCTGGGCTGTACACCTGCAAAGGGACACACCAAATCCACAGTGCTCCTCAGTGGGTGGAAACACAGAGGTGTTAGTGACACTAAAAAAGAGCAATGCTTTCCCCCATACCATCATTTCACTTGGAAAAGCATGAGAAACGTCTAACTTTTCCCCTTAAATTGTTCTGGAGAAAGTTACGAGGTATAACTTGTTTTTCAATTGACCTGAAATGCATCTCATGCCATTCTGTTTCCCTGGCAGTGTTTGGGAGAGCAGTGCACGCCATGGCACGGGTTAGCGATGAGTTCTGCTTTGACCCCATAGACAGAGGTGTAAGTACATTGGATTTACTGACAGTTTAAAGTCTTTGTTGGAAACAGTGTTTGTGGTTTTTCCTGCAGGTCTTCTTCAGTCTGAGCTGCATTCTTTTTATTCCCTCCACTTTCAACATGGACAAATGCCATGTTTTCTGTGATTGTAATTATGCAGATGGTATCACGGAAGGGTCATTCCTCTGCCCCTGATATTTCTGGGGATTTGGTTACCTGAAGCTCGTCCAGGACATCCGGGTTAATACCAAGGGTTTTATTCCCATTGTCACAAATCAGATGGTTGATGTGTTGCTCCGCATCAGAAATTGCCTTTAAATGACATGTTTTTGTCCTGGTGTGACTCAGCAGGAAGAATGCTTCCCGTTAATCAGACACCACTTCCCTCAGAATTGGGTTTTTCTCTAGAGCTTTCTTAATTAAAAGCAATGAGCTCAACATGCTGTGGAGCTGGTGCATCAGAAGTGGAAATACTGTTTGTAAATGAGATGTTGTTTAGGTGCTGGAAGTATTTGCTTATTTGTGTATCTCATGGATTGTTTTAGAACAGGCTCCAATCTTTCAGATACCTGAAATAGGACTTCTAAGGGGCTGGGTAATCTGCACTTCAAGGCTTAACTCACACATCCCTGCGTTGGGTTCCCATGTCTGCATAACGGCTGGGACTTCTGACCGGTAATCAGAAGGGGATTAGTCTGAACACAGCAATAGAAGTGATGCATCTGGATTTGTTTGGAGATGTACACACATAAAGGTTTTGTGGCTTAGGTGTGGCATTGAAGATAGCACGCAGAAGGTACAGAGATGGCTTTTTTATTAAAGGCTCAATATGAAACAGCTCTGAGTTAATGAATTACTTTGCATTTATTTTCAGCTTGCCTTAAGATCAGTGAATTCTTCTCGGTCAGCATATGCGTATGTCTTCTTCTCATCCATGTTTTTTCAACATTACTGCTCCACAGCTGCGCCTCAGCCGTGTCAGAAAGAAAAACAGTTATCACTTGCATGTAAATTGATCATTAAGGTATATTTTAACACATTGTTACATGCAGCTTTGAAAACAGCAAGTCAGCCTGCTTTCCAAATGAAGTGGTAGGGGAGGATCATATGGGCAGGCAGGTTGCTCTAAACTGAAGGGCTCCTGAGCAGTTCTGCAGAAGGGAGCGTTACTGTTTAATTGTTTAAAAGGTGTAGTCCTGAGCTGTGCCTTGCAGAGTCCAAAGTCTGAATCAGCCTCATCTTGGGGTGAAGGAATGCTGTGTTTCTGTCTGTTGAGGGTTTCCCATATAGCCTTTGAGAACAGCATGAGCTGGAGAGCATTGACACACTGTTCTGCAAACAGGGCTGTGGGTGGGTGAGGACAGCGAAGATCAACACCAGCAGCCTGCACTCTGCTTACAGAGCAATCATAAAAGCAGGAGCTTGGGATGAACTGCATGCGAGAAATAACACTGCAAAATGTCTTAGAGAGTAACCTATGCACTGATTGTCTGTTTTTTTTTTCAGTCAGTTCTTCCTATATTCAGATGTGTAAACGTGCTGGAAAGGCACGTGGAGAAATGCAACATTTACACAGATGATAAAGATCACCACATAACTTTTCAGCTCCTCTGCAGAAATGGTACGTTATACATAGAGTGCATTTCCACAAACAGGAGCAGTCTCTAACAGCAGGACAAGGTGTAATTATTAACTGAGCATTATTGATGGGACGTTATGCCAAACGCTTTCAGCCTCCTCACATTGTAATTTATGTTGTGACATTGCCTTGCTAAAAAGCAGTTATAACAGCATTTCCCAGACTTGACTTTCATCTGGTCAGGAATTATGTGTACTTGTTAATTGTCTTTTGTTTTCCACCAGCATTTATACTATTGTAGCAATTAAATGTTGAAGGTTTTCGTCCTGCATCTGTTACTTTTAAGTCATTTGCTGTGGATTCTTAAAAATGTCAGAGACTTGAGGAAATAACGAAGAGGATGAAGGAAGGCAGAGGGCATCAGAATTTGGTTTTCTATTTGGGGGTGAGATATTGCTACACAGGTAGAGTGAGTCACTTATTTCCTTTGTTGAGATGTCTTGGAAGAGCAATTAATATTAAAAAGGTTAGAATTCTAGACCAGCATTGATTTTCATTCATATATTTTATACCTAGGTATTGTAAAAACACATAATCTGGCTTTTCAAGAATGCGACCCATTACAGGCTGTTTTTGCAAAGCACATGTGTCCAAATGTCCTCAGAGCCCACTCCAGGTAATGAACATTCACATGTTTTGTTCTGGGGAAAAAAATAATAATAACCAAGAGGACAATACTGCTCCTACAGTCATTAACATCACCAAAATCTGGGTGGGGCCCACACTCAGAAATGGTGAATTGCTGCTAAATCCCTTGTCATGATGTTGGATATTTCACATAACAGCTTCAGGAGCTGGATTTGATCTGGGATTGTTGTGCCATTAACCCTGCTGCAAGCTCGAGAAGCACATAATCCATGATTTGAATCCACACCTTTGCTATGCTACACAATGACTTGTCTCATGTAAAATCATTTTAGTGCTAAATTCATCTTCATAGGCTGCTGGCTGATATAATGGTTCACTTTCCAACGAGTCAAGAAGAAGTCACCTTATCAGTTACTCCAACAAGGGTTTGCTTCAAGAGTTACACTGAGGAAGACACTGGTAAGGAAACAGAAAACACAAAGGAACACCAGTCAGTCATACTGCCATTCTTTGGGTTTAACGTACCTCAGAAAACTTGAGGTTTAGGAATACTTTCCTGGTGTTGATGGCAGAAGAGGAAGAAGGAATTAGAGGCATTTTGCTTTTGTTGTGTCGCACGCGATGCGAAGTACTGCCTGCAGCAAATGTTCTGTACACACTGAAACAAAACACGTCCTCTGAGTGCGTTATCTGGTGATGGATTGTGTTCCACATTCAGGTGTCATTTCCAAAGAGGTGGCAGCTGTTGAGACTTGTTTTCAGCTGCAGGCGGTGGCTCTGCCTCATAGAAGTTGGCAGCTCTCTTACAAGCATTTGTTTCTACAGTTTTAAGAACCTCACAAGGGTATATGTGAACGTGCAGTGTGTTGGGGGCTGAGAAACAGAAATGTGGGACCCATTGGTAGTGCTGTGCAGCAGTCAGGCTGTAGAGGAAAGCCGGACAGGAGTGCAGTGCTGAGAGAGCTCTGACTGCCTCTGAGACTGTGATGCATTATGGCATTCTGATTTTCTTTCCACACACCTGATAATAATTAACAAACAGTTGAATGACAGTGAGCAACACCTGATGCTGAAGAGCTTATTGTCCATTGTCACTTACATAATACCAGGAAAAAAATTACAGTTTAGAACAAATAACTTCAGACCTCTTTTATAGTCCTCTGAAGGTTGCCAGCGATTATGACCCATCTGTTAAAGTCACACTGCTTTTGGTCTTCCCAAATGTCTTCCAGAAGCTGACAGTAGCAGTAGTGCCTGTAGGAGAGCAGATTTACAAGGCTGACAGCAGTACTGGGCTTACAGCACCTTGTGGAATATGAAATAAACTCTGTTAAAAGCCACGTAAACCCACAGAGAGCGCTGTAAATAATTTCAGGATTTTTTGTTTTACCTAACTACAAAAATAAATGTAAATAAGCTGGACATCTACTATTATTAGTCACTTATTATTAGCCAAGTACTTATTGAGATGCTGCTGATCTAAAAAATCATTATAATCGTTTTGTTGAGGTTTCACTCCAGCCTTGTTATTTCAAACAGACTTTACAAAGACAATGGTTACCGAAATACAACTGAGTCCAGATGAATTTGACTACTTTCAAGTTGGAGTCGATTCTGAAGTGACATTTTGCCTTAGAGAATTGAGGGTACGTTAAGAGTTTGGTGTTTTCAGTTATTTGACCTGGATAACACAGGAGAATGATCCCAGCCTCTGGTGTTCCCCCAGGCCTGCTGGCCAGCAGTGCTATCTCACCAGCTGGCTGAGGACAGGCTTTAGAAAGGATCTTCAAAGAAACTCTTAAAACAGCAAAACCCCATCTACCCAATGCTGAGATAACATTAGCACTACTGCAGTAAGCATCGTGGCCACAGTAATTCTACC